CCCAGGGCCACGTACGGAACCCGTCTCTGAAAACAGGCCTCGAAACAAGAGAGTAAACACAAACACGACACCAGCAACTACCCCGAGCCCCCCCATTTTTAGCTTTCTTGCCTGTCTTGATGGGGCGTTGCAAGATCTATGCCACTGGGCCAAAACCAAAGAACTGCTAGTTTCCTGGCAATTTTGAAAAGGGGTGCCAGGTGAGACGACTTTGTTTCTCTTCCATCCACAGCCCCTATAGAACGGCTGGCCAAGGCATGCCAAGGCAGTGCTTCTCGGTTTTTATGCTTTAATGTTCCTGCGTTTTATGCTTCGAAACTTTCAAGCCTGTCCCTGCCAGCATTTCTGTAAGCAGCTGGACTCCCTGTCAATATCTTTCAGTTGCTAACGCTCAGTCAAAGTGACAGCTTACGCTCCAGTCAACGTTGCGAACGTGCTGGCAGGAGCAACGTTTTATCGTCTTGTTTTCCAGCATCAAATACAAAGAAGAAATGCAGAACGGGTAGGCTGCCGCTGTTCAAGGCTCCAGCAGCTCAGTGCTCAAGTGCCTGATAAAATTGCATCAAGCCCTTGCCTTAATGGGTACCAGCAAACTTCAACTACTTCGAGCTTTAGCGTTCAAGGTTACAACACCTACTCTCGCATGGAGATGGTTTAAAGTTTGAACATCAAATTAAAATTAAAGTGAACCAAACTTGAAAGCACTGAAAACAGCTAAAACAAAGCTGAAGAGAGCTGAATAATGCGATCCCGTTTGGTTCAGTAGATTTCAAGCTTTTCCGGTTTTCCAGGATTTTAGATCCAGGCGTTTAAGATGTTTTTCAATTTGGATTAACCTACTTTGCCAGACCTGTCCATCCAATGTGGGTTTGCCACTGTTCTGCGAATACGGCTTCAGGCCGGAGGAGCTGTGCATTCCTGGACGCCCACAAAACTGTTTCGGATTTACGTTGTAGGGCTTAGGCTGTCACTCTTCGACGCCGCTCAATGGCACAGATAGCCTCAGAAAAGATCGTCAGGCCGGGACAAAATGCAATAGTGCATAGCCCTTATAATCATTAAGCCGCAAAACTGTATATTATTCTGTACACCCAACATAGCGTAAGATACCCAACCAGGCCGGCCAAACTTTACGATGTTGAGGCCCCCAAACTAATCACGGCAGACACGACTGGACCGTACAAACGTTGAAACAGCGCCAGCATGTGCTGCATCCACTGCAGAGGAGCCTGGGCATTGCTACTGATGCAGAGGCTCTTGCGCTCGGGATGTGCTGCCGAAGACGTCAGAAGCTGCGCTGCACTTCCACAGTAGCGCTGCGATGCCAGTCGCTTTCCGTTTCTAGCCGTCCCCGGGGAGGAATCCAAGGACAGACTACGGGCAGGTTTGAACTTGACGAGAAAGCCCGTTGAGGCGACAGGCTGACCAGCTCGCAGAGGTTGAAGACTTCAACAGATACGACGGCAAGAGTGCATGCAATCGTCGTCACTACATCACCTTGTGGCACCTAGCGGCCTGAGTTCAGCCACAACGCAGGCAGCACCCGTCATCACGGCATACATCATCATCATCACGGCATCGTTGGCACAACCACCAACGATATAATCACACATCACGATCGCATGAACCATAAAACTCACGTCATTCGATCATCGTCGTCGTCAAAGCAGAAAGGGGTTGTCAGTGTCGTCAGAAATTGTGGCTGCAAAGTTCTTGCCAAGCCACCTTTTCGCCCTGCCTGGGCTCGCTTTGAAAGCCAGGGGTGGTGAACGATTGAGATCTTGGGAGTTCATGTCTACACAGGTGTGGGGTTACAGTCATTCTGGGTTGAACTTCTTGGGTTGGGATTGCCGATGCAGGAAAAAAGATCGCTGAAGTCCTGAAACTGTCAATCGAACCGGTGACGTGCAGCTACTCAAACTCACTGCATGCCAAGCGACAGCTCTACTAAATGATCTTGGCTGCGTGGGACGCTTCCAAGAAAAAGCCCCTCCTCTATCTTCGTCCAACTCCACCCTTAACTCAAGGAAGTGGCACTTGTCAAGGGTGGGCTTGCCGCGCGTGCTGCAGCAACTAAGGCTCCAACTCTTGCGCTTCTTGCACAAGCGGATGGTGCGGGATTGCCAACTGTGAAGCTTCGTGGGCCCAACGCCTGAGAAGCGCTTGCAAGCTGAGTTGGCGCATGTGCCTGTGCAGCAAGGTCCGGCATTACGGCAAATTGGTCATAATACCAGTAATAATCATTGTGCTAACGAAACTAAAATTAATGCTCCGACGTTATGGAAACGCGCAAACTTCGGAAGCCGTCAACGTCGGCATTTACTGTGATTTCCGTGCTCAACGAACAGACAAGCTGACAAGCGTGCTTTATGTCCGTGCTTTTTCTCGTACGTTTCTGTTTCTTGCAATGCCCGAACTCATCGGCATTTATGGTGGCGTCCTTGCTCGTGTTCGATGACTTCTGAACTTTTTTGAAGCGGGCAGCTTGTTGTTGAAAGGCAAATTGCATGCAGGATTGGTGCGACATAGCTTCGGAACACTAGTGTTTTGGCCTTCTCGCCTGAATGCGACTTCGGCATGAGCATGAACAATCGTAAAAAGCATCTGTACTTACTGTGCTTGCCTACGTGATGTACATGTGCACCCCGGAACATTGTTTCAGCGTGCCATTTTGTGGCGGCATGCTTCCAACAGCGCCGGAGTGTGCGCATCAGTGCTAGAAGTAGAGCTATGAGTCGAGTAGTAAAGGGAAGCATTTCAACCAGTCGACTGGGCTTCTGCGTGAAACTTAGCATAGAGTGGGGTTGAGAACGTCAAGGTCGTTCAGGGTGCTAGGCTTGGCCTTGCACACCTGTGAGGCGACTGGGATGGACGTTGCTGCTCGTCTGGATGCTGCAAGTTACAGTAGGGTGATAAGGGGCTCAGGGTAGAGGTCTGAGCCTCTGACGAGAAGGGACTGAAGATCTCTCGCCCCACCAGCTTAGCTTTGTATCTAAATATGATATATGCTGTAGCAACTGCTGTTGGCGGCTCCGACGTACCCCCAAACCGTTGGTGTAGTGCAGCACCAGCAGTGGTAGCAAAAGGAATGGCACCTGTACTTCGATCTAAATACCGCGACCGGAATGGACGGTATAGACATCTCTCTAATACTAAACACTACGACCTCAGGGGTAGAGCCCGCCCCTGGGTGCATCGGCCTGAAAAGAAGATCAGCAGCCACAGCAGCACCAGCACAACAAGGAGCACCGAAACCAATATTGCCGCCAGGACCTGCTCTGACTGACGGGCGTTTGCAGCAGTTCTACCCCACAGTGCAGACCTAAGGCGGATTGCTTGGCTATTGGGAACTTGCCGTCGGGGCCGCAACTTTGGCTTTGGGGCAGTTTTTCGGCCCCGCCAAGCCAACGCCCAGGTGCTCGCGACAAGCGACAGCTTTACTACAGTGGGAGTGCAGATGCTTGCGATGTCTGTGCAGGCACTACTAATCGGCGGATCAATGGAAAAAACAACTTTAAGCCTGACGAGAAAACAAATCAAGCTGAGGAAACGGAGACGTTTCTAAAAGTTGGGGCAGCATTAACAGTCACAGCGACTGTCGTGGCATTACTCGCAGTAAAGCAGACCCCCTGATCCCGCACGCAAAGAGCTTTATGTTGTATTGATTTGTATTGGTGTTCTGGTTGTTTGTCGCACAGAACCTGTGAATCCAACGGGAAAGCCCGGTGAGGAACCACATCTACTGCGGTATCCCGGAAGCTGTAAAGCAATTCAACAGGTAGTTGTCCTAGTCGACAGCCCTTTCCCGGATTCATCAGGCTTCTACCCAACACCGTGGATGCAACACAACCTGATGGACGTCCGACAAAGCTTCGACCTAGCTACCGAGCTTGCGCAAGCTCAATGATGCCAAAACAAAGCAATAATCTTGACCGTGTCATGTTGCAGCAACGTAGCACAGGAAAAAATCGCTCGTTGTAGTCTTGTTCAGAGAAGCTTTTAGCATCGCCGCCGAATCTAGGTTCTCTAGAGCTGCTGAACCCTATATGCTGAACGAAAACAACAATACAGTTGATGGTGTTAAGAACCTTGTTGGCGACATAGCCAAAACCCTGGGAGGCAGGCCACACAAGCACAAAGCGTGATAAGGTTATGATACGCTTGTTGTCGCGAATGTTCATCTATGACCGGCTCAGGCATAGGGGCCAGAAGCAAACAATCCGAAACAGCTGATGCTATAAGCCAAACCTTAAGCCAAATCCCAAAGTAATTATGGCGGGCGGGTGCCTCAGCCTCCATTCGCCAGAACCTCGACCAGCGCCGGCTTCTTCAAACGTCACTGCTGTAAGCTGTTTGGCTTTCAAAGCATTGTCGCTGAACTTTGTGAAGTTGCTGTGGTTTGCCATGTTGGCGGCATGAACTCGTAGGCACGCTGCCGTTTACGATTGATCCGCAATCTCCTAAGTTGCTAAATGGCTATACATGGCTATACCATGTTCGTCATGGGCAACAGTTTCTCCCGCGGCACAACAATTCAATTGCAACCATAAAAGGAGGTCAGTCCCCGCAGCCCTGTTTTTGGCGCAAAGGACTCTGAGCCAAAATCCTGCACGTCTTTTTGAAGATCAAGGCGAACTTCATAGGCTCGGCACTCCGCGAAACTGCCTTGCGACTATCAATCTCAATGCTTCTTCATGCACACCGCACCATCATGCAACAGCCCGATCTTCACGGAAACTGTGCAACACAAACACACACACACACACAAATCGCCAAAAACCGTCCTTTACTTCTACCATTCCTATTATTGGTGTTCCTTGACGATTTTCGTGTATTATGATAGCGAGTACGGTATGACGATTCTCTTGATGGTCATCATCTGAGGTTGACACTTGCCATCAATGCATCTTAAGTTAACTCCAACTACCATCGGCGCGAACACTTCTCAAGGTGCACCGACTATTCGCTCTGAAGCTTCGCAGAAACTCTGCCAGCAACACCACGCCCGCTGCGCCGTCGACACAGAATCCGGAACCTTGGCCTTTGATCTTCCGCTCCTCCGGCCGCGCAGGGGCATTATAAATATTACTACTATTGGCTATTGTTATCATTCTTGTTATTGTTGTTCTTACTATTGACATTACTATTTCTTGTTGCCTGAGCTTTGACGAGCGAAGCATACGACAGAATCCTGCTGATTGATCTCGGGTTTGATTCCAAAGAAGAAGGAGAAGATGTCTGCATTCCCGATGGAAGGAATCTCCACCTGCCGCAGGAGTGCAGAAACAGAAGATATCTGACAAGGTCATCTGTCGCAAGAACATGTTCTGAACCCACAGGTCACAGCAAGGCACAGCTGCCAAAGCAAGATAAGCATCACCAAACACCGTTGAATCCCCACGACATGAAACAACCAGAAAGAGACACCCCTGCCATGGTTTCTGAAGCAGTAGTCGTGGTGTAGTAGACATTAATCCGACTATCAAGCAAAACCGGAAACATCAGTCGACTCCTGTGGCTTTTGCAGCGATTTCTGTTACCGTTGCACATATCAATAGTTTGAAAAGTGCTTTCATGAGTAGTAGCGGTAATCGTCAGCAGCTATAGCTGTACCAGGTAACAGTAGTGTTAGCAGCAGCAGGAGGAGTAGTAGCAGTAGCAGCAGGAGTAGTCGTAGCAGTAGTAGCAGTAGCAGTAGCAGCAGCAGCAGCAGCAGCAGCAGCAGTAGTAGTAGGTGCTGAATGGACAATCCATCCCAGCCCCACGACTAACAGCCTGATGTGAGCATCCATAGGAAGCAGAGAATTCAGCTGCATGCTCTCCGATTGCATGGCCCAAGGCAGTGAATGGAAAATGCAGCATTTGTTTTGTTTATGCAAAGGCATGCCAGGTGTTGAATGAGTGCAGAGACCAAGTATTAGTACTACTAGTAGTAGTAGTAGTAGTAGTAGTAGTAGTAGTAGTAGTAGTAGTAGTAGTAGCAGTAGCAGTAGCAGTAGCAGTAGCAGTAGCAGTAGCAGTAGTAGTAGTAGTAGTAGTAGTAGTAGTAGTAGTAGAGGTAGTAGTAGTAGTAGTAGTATTAGAGGTAGAGGTAGAGGTAGAGGTAGAGGTAGAGGTAGAGGTAGAGGTAGAGGTAGTAGTAGTAGTAGTAGTAGCAGCGGTGGTGGTGGTGGTAGTAGTAGCAGTGGTAGACCGTCGCATCAGTACCCATGGATCTCAAGCGCTCTTTGGCTGCAGCAGCCTTCTGCTCCGTCTGGATGCGTACAACGGCGGCCCCACACTTCTCTGCAACCCTGTTGACGAAGTTGTCCTTGACCTCAGTCCCGAGTCCCGAATCCCGGTCTGACGAAGTTGCCTTGGCCAGTGCACTGCGAGCACCAATCCAACACAAGAACCGGAGCCAAGGCAATCTCCCACTGCTTGTCGTGAAAGGGGTGGAGAGCTGGGTGGATCACATGCTCCAGTAAACAGAGAGCACAAGCCCCAACCGACAACGATGCGTTCAGAAAGGTTGTGTCGCTTTTTTCTTCTGATCCCTGCAGCCAACTCAATTTCTCAGCCGTTAAACCAAAGCTCTGTCGATCTCGAGCCCGAGCCAAACGACTCAGCATCACAAGCAAACCCAGTCCCGAAGTCGTCGTGAAATCTCCTTCTGGGGCCCAGAGCCTGCCGAGCCTTGGACACACTGCCCTGCTTGTCAGGGTGGTGGTTGCTGACCTCGGGCTCTAGTGCTTCACCTGCGATCCGCGTAAGCAAGCCGCTTGCTGCAAGAGCGGCTGAACTTGATTTTGACGCCCGTGAATAGTACTCCAAAGTATGTATGTTTGGGCAGTATGATTGCAGGACATTGTAGGAGTACCTGAAAGGAGCGTGGATCAGAGCTCGCTGGACCACATCTCCATGCAATACTACGCAGAAGACTCTCAAAACGACTTTACTTGCAGAGCGTCCGTTTCAGCCACATTGCTTTCCCGATGCCGTAAGTCTGCTGCCATCAGCCGTCATCAGCAATTACATATGCTTATGGCTGTACTCGTGTGATGAGCTTCCTGCTCCAGGAACACCTCCTTTTCGAGGGTCTGCCATGGACAGCGGCCTGAATCAGCATGATGACTCGGAATCAGGAACTTCAGCAGCTGAGGGCTGGGGCTGACAGGATCAGGAATGATATTAACATGTGGTACTTTGGGGCATCACTTGGAGGTTCGAGCTGGAGTCAATTGGAGTCCTTCAAAGCCGGGGTGCTGGGTCACGAGCATGTCTGCGAAGCTCTACTATGCTACATATAGCCGGCCCGAGGGCTTCTGCGATGTGCCTGCAAGATGGCTATGTGAAGCCGGCGGTCCGCCGTTGGAAGCAATAGCACTAATTGAACCCCACGGAATCAGGTCTGAAATCCCAGAATATCTTGGTGGCCGGCATCGTTGCGATGCCACAGGGTCCTGCACCGGACAAGCATCGAAAAAAGTCTCGCAGCTGCTGGCATGAATGCTTTTAAACGCTGGGGCTGGCTCAAGGCGCGTGACAGCGAGACCCCAGCGCTTTGTAAAGACCCATCACCGTATCGTATCTGGAATGGAACTGCCGAAAAGCCTAGAAGTCCTCCCGTATATCTGTACTTCTTGATGCGTGACATTGCTCCTGGTTTACTTTAACAGCAATTCCCAACCCAGAGCAACCCCAAACCATTCCGTCTGAACGCTTCAGCCCTGCAGGTCTGGGAAAGTGGGACAAAACACCACCTTCGCAGAGGCGATCCCCAGCCTTCGGTTTCCTCTTATTTCGGCGGGTGTGCGGCCATTTCGGGGCACAAGGGTGGATCCTTCAAGAACGAACATAAGCATGATCATAACATCACTCCTAGGTTTGGCATAACTAATGCTGCGGCAAGCAACAGTCTGGCAACATCCCAAACCTTCAAGACCACCAACATGCAAACCAGGACCAATGCCTGAAGACTGTCATCTGACCAATGAAATGGGCAAGTGAAACCCGTTATCCGGGTCAGAAGCCATGCAGAAGACCACCTATTAGCCTTCACAGCATCATTGAGGTGATCTTCACCCTCCACACCAAACTCCCTGCCGTAAACCACGAAAGCCCACACCGAGACTCAAAACCTAAACTCGAAACTCCAAACCCTAAACCCCTCAGCCCTCAACCGAACTCAAACCTAACCCCCATATACACCCTGGCTGGTCGGATCTTTCTTCGGCCCTGGGCAGCGAAGAGTTTGCGAACAGCTTCGGAGTCGACGGCGTCTGCCCGGGCCACTCGAGGCTCGTAGGCAGCCTCAGGGTTCAGGGTTCTGCAATATAGGGGCCTAAATAACTACCTATGCTCTTTTTGGGGTTCCTTATCATTCTTTTGTTTTAATAAGAGGCCCTGTATTGGGTTTAGGGGCAGGGTTCTCAAACCGAGAAGCCTCTGGGTCTCCAAGGGTGTTCGGGGTTCTGAGTTTCTGGCTTGGGGCTTGGTGTTCGGAGGGTACGGCCATGATTATCGGGGGTCTTCTAGAACCAAATCTCAAGATCTGAAGCAAGCAAAAACAGCTTGCTACTCCCTGTGAGCCGGTCGGCAGATTTACAACTCGAGGCGTGCCCAGGGAGTTGTGAAAACCATGCGCAAGCATTTTCGGCATTCAAATCAGGCCAAGGCACATCCAGAAGAGTGCAGAGGGATCTTCGGGAACAGTCGTGGCAGAGCTGCTGCTGACAAAACCGACAAATCAGGAAGAAGGGACCTGAACAGGCATCCAGGGTAAACCTTCAGCCCCAGAGCTCCAAGCCCTACAGAACCCTGAATCCCTCAAACGAGAGCTTTGAGCGCTGCAGCATTGCCCTGCAAAAAAGGGCAGCTGCTAAGCTTGTATTTGCCAGGAATGCTTAGGACATGCCGCGGCTCTGAGGCACCGGCCGGTGCTACCGATCTCAGGCTGGCTGCAAGAACTGCAGCTGGCACCCCCATCGGGAGTTCCGCCTCCAAAGCGCTCGAGGCTGTGTCCGTTATCACATCTTGGCCAAATCGCCAAGGAATGACGGATCTCCTCAAATCCCGCCGGGTTCTGACCCACGTGGGGATTCTGGTTTTGCAGGAAGCACTTCCCACATAGCGAGTAGTTGCAGCTATAGCAGTGCATTCGCACCTGCCCCGCAGGTATGGCAGCTAGGCAGAAACGACACTGCACAGACGATGACCAGTAACTTGGCTGGGACCGAACCAGTGCGTGGCCGTCCAGGCACGTGACCGCAGCTCGCTGGATATCGCCCCTTCCGATGTCCATGCTGGACCATCGCTCCAGCGATGGAGGCACTTGGCCCGCGACTTTGCCTCAGCTCGATGAAGCACTCCGCCGAATGCATGAGGCCTATCGTTAAACAAACCCATGCTGCAATTTAAGGCAAGTCTCTGAAAACGTCCTGCAGCAACGCGCTTGCTTGCAGGGCCGGCATGTAGGGCTCCAGCGATGCTCCGGGAACCTCACTGCTGCTTCGCTCAGGCTTCAAGCTTTCGAATGGACAGGGTTTCCTAGCTGCGTGTCAGAAAGCATCTTACATGAACTTAAATGAATGGCTGTGGCTTCAAAGGTCTTGTTGCGTAGCCTCCTTGTGTGGATGCTTCGTGATTTTCGAATTTGCTTAGCAGGGGTTCGCATCCACATACTCCTTGTGCCTGGTGCCTGCGCGCAGAGCTAGGAGCTCCCGACATCGTGTAGAGCACTCTTTTGCAGAGCCGCCTGATCCAAACAAGGCTGTAGGCCTGTAAGCGTCCTCATGACAGCCGCCTGTGCTGATCTTCTGATCCCCAAAGTCCGCTGCCACGAATCCGGATTCAGAAACTCCCATCAAAGCACCGCCTCAAGCTATTCAAGCAAGGTGCAGCAGTGGCCTGCTGTTTGCTGCCGGCTTGGTCAAACCAGCCGATGTCGAAGGTCCCATCCGGGTGCTCCATCTCCACCTGCTCTTGGCTTCAGGGTTGCTGGTTTGGGACCTCCTCTGCTGAGGCCACGGCGGAAGTGTTTCGAGTTCGGGCTCGGATGGGCTTCGGTGCAGTTTGACGTACCAGGGAGTTAGGATGCTTGATGAGCATGTCACAGCATGTCGATGTGCACCTGCAACTTCATCAATCATCCGAACGTCTTTCCGGGATAAATGCTGCTCCAGCTTCACGAACCAACTTTCATCCGCCCGATCTGGCAAGCGAAGTCTTCGCCACCCAAAGAATGAGGACTTTCACTTATGGAACTACCTACTTCTTCCGGCTCTTCTTCGGAAGACATCCTGCTAAGGAAGCCTTACTCCAGAAGGACGGAGTCAGTTCCACCCTGCAAACGCGCATGACTCATGACCATCACCTCAGCCCCACAACCCGTTTACGGGAATTGGCGCACCTTCAAGTACGTACAAGCTCAGACAGCCTCAACAAAGCCAGAAATCGAAGATGATCTCAAAATTTCAGCCTCGAGTTGGGAGTAATACACCTGGAACGCCCAACTGTGCCTGAGCCACCACTGGCGCACTGGCTCCCACTGAACGAAACAAAACCTCGGCTGGCGAATGCGTTTTGGAACTCCACAGCTGGGACGACGGGTTTCGGATTTGCGGGATGGTCTTCCTGTCCGGGCACCGTGGTCAACTGATCCTGATGCTCTCAAACATTTGAGGATTCGTCATCCTACAGTGCAGCTCGGCAGCCATTCCTGTCAGCTGCTGCGTAGTTGCGTCCTGCGTACTGTCTGCTATGAGAGCCGTGGGCTCTTGTGAAGTTGAAGTCTCAGGAGGGATTGACTTGCTAGTTGCGACCACCTCGCTACAAACATCCAGCCTCAAGCCTCGGAGCTTGCAACCGCAACATCGCCCGACTCGAAAAGCCGAGAACTTTCACATCCTCTAAACTGCGAAAATGAACTCGTCGGATGCGCCAAGCCAGCCACGGTCATCAATGCCCACGTAAATCTTACTTCTAACAATTCTACAAATTCAATATTGAAGCTACAAATCAACCGCAGCATTGATACCCTTGAGTTTACACCTTCGATGATTCCAATCCCACCGCACGAGCAAGCCCAGGTCACAAGTGGAGGTCCAAGTGTAGATACCGACGATCTTACCGTTGCAGTTGCTGGTGCTGCTGGTGCTGGCCGTGCGTGGCGCTGGTGCTGCTAGTGCTGCTGGTGGCTGCTCGTGCTGATGCTGCTGTTGCTGCTTGTGCCGCGTGCTGCTGGAGGTGGTGGTGGTGGTGGCGTGACAGACTAATCTTGGCCAAGCTCCGCATCACCTGAAAGATCGAATTAAAGCCGTCAAACTGTTGTTTCAACCGTCCTGCTCTGCCACTGCAATTGCCACACCGGCATGCAACTCCTCGTCATCCTTCGGGCATCGCGACAAGCAGAATCGATCCTACCCAGCCTCTCTCCACATCCACCTCAGCATTCTTCCCAGCTAGTAAGGCTTGCACACAACTTGTGTTAAGCCACATGCCCCGATCTAGAGGGCCGGCACCTTCGATCACCTTGACCAAACACGAAGCTTGCTCGTGAAACCCCGAGCCACAGGATCCTTGCAAACAAAAGCCCGACTGGCCTCAAGAACCAGCTTCAGACTGTCTACGGAGACGGCGTGCTCCGGTTCCGACAGCTTCATGGAGCTCCCAGAGTTCCTTAGGCTGGGACCCAGTCAGATTCCATGAATGCCTCTGGCCCCGTGACACGCACAGAAATCGCACTCGGCCTTAGGTTGCGCGATGCGGCAACGGCAACAGCATGCGCAAAGGACATCATTGTCCTCGACGTCGTCGTGAAGTCGCGCCCGTACTACAGAAAGCACTAACTGTAATATGACGGTAGCAACCTTCACAACTAAAAAGTAGTGACACGCCAGTGGCGGTGGTAGCAGCGATGGTGCATATGGTGGCTGAGGGTAGGGTGAACCTGGAGGTGGCTTTGGGGTTGTGATGCTGCTGCTGAGGCTTGCTGGGGATGGTGCTGGCAGCCGTGGAGCTGGATGCTTTGGAGTTATAGGCGCAGCACGATGAGATGGAGAAGAAGCAACAGCATCACAGTAGTAGTAGTAGTAGTAGCAGCAGCAGCAGTAGTAGAAGTAGTAGTACAAGTACAGTAGTACAGTAGTACAGTAGTACAGTAGTACAGTAGTACAGTTGTACAGTAGTACAGTAGTACAGTAGTACAGTTGTACAGTAGTACAGTAGTACAGTAGTACAGTAGTACAGTAGTACAGTAGTACAGTAGTACAGTAGTACAGTAGTACAGTAGTACAGTAGTACAGTAGTACAGTAGTACAGTAGTACAGTAGTAGTAGTATAGTAGTATAGTAGTATAGTAGTATAGTAGTATAGTAGTATAGTAGTATAGTAGTATAGTAGTATAGTAGTATAGTAGTATAGTAGTATAGTAGTATAGTAGTATAGTAGTATAGTAGTATAG